GGGGGGGAGAGGAGGATGGAGGGGTCGGTCTGGCCTGTCGCGCGCACGCGGGAGCCGGCCCCGGGCGCGCCGGCCGAAAAGGGCCGGCCAGGGCCGGGGGGCGGGGGATGCGCGGCCGGCCGGGCGAGGCGCCTCCTGCGAGCGTAAGCACGAGCGAAAAGTCTGCACGGGCATTCACGCGCGCCGGGTCGTCTGCCTTGCCCCCCCCCCCCCCCCCCCGGGGGGCGGGGGGCGGAACAACGGCGACGGCCCATGGCCAGGGGCGCCCCGCCGGGACCCCGAGCTGCATCGGCCGGGACCCCGAGCCGGCTTGGAAGCTGTCTGGAGGGGGCGGTCCGTGGGCATGCGCAATGGCCGCCCCCCGCCCCGCCCCCCCCGGGGACCACGCCCACGGTGTCGGCCCTGCCCGCGCACCCCCGGCGATCGGCCGGCGCGGCCCGGAGGATTGGGAGATGGCGGCGGGATCCCGGCGCCGAGTGACGCGATGCCTGGCCAGCCGCGGCAGGCCGCATGCAGGCCGCCGGCGATCTTGCCGCCAAGGGGCGAGCCGGTGTGCCGGAGGGGGGGGGGGGCTGATCGCCAGCCAGGAGCCGTGGGCCGCGACGCGGCAGCACGCCGGAAAAAGAAAGGCCCGCTGGCCGCGACCCGGCGGCACCCCCCTCGGCATGCCCTCTCCTCCACCGCCCCTCTCTCTCCGCCTCTCTCTCTCTCTCTCTCGACCCCCAGGCCCACCTCCCCCCCCCCCTCCCTCTCCCTTCCCCCTCGGACTGTGGTGACGCTCGGGCCCGAGCGCTCGCCCGCCGAGCATATGTCACCACCGACACCCAGCTGCCGGGCACGTACGTCACCCCCTTTTGTCGCTCGCCAGCCACCCACCCCGCTCGCCTGTGGCGCGGCCTCTGCCAAGCCAGCACTCGATGTTGACCCATGTCTGGTGGGCCCTGCCAGCGGCCGGGCTCTCCAGCTCACAGATCGCCGCCTTTGCCCGGGCCCGCTCACGAGCATTCCAATGCCTGCACCGGCTGATGGTCCAGAATGGGGCGTCTAGCCAGTGCTCCAACGGCCAGTGGCGCATCGAGCATTGCGGCCCCCGGGCCATGGCGCCCATTTCCCTGGGACACTTCATTCTCTGTCTGTTTGGCTGGTGTGCGCGCGGTGGCCTGTCCGAGGCCGACCGGTTGCAGGCCCTGGCCCGGCGCGGCATCCATCCCTCCTATGCCGAGCCTCTGGCACTGGTGCTGCGATGCATGCGCGACATCGAGCGCCAGCGCAGCTACACCACGCCAGCTGATGCGGATCTCGAAGTGCCCTCGCCGCCGGGGCCGCCCCTCGCCGAGGAGGATCTCCACCTGGGGCTCTTCCTGTTCGACTCGCTGCTGGTCTTCGCTCCGCCACAGCTGAGTGACTTTGGTACACCCCTCCACGCGCGCACGCACGCACGCACGCACGCACGCACGCACGCACGCACACCGCAAATGTGACATCCGCCAGCGCCTACTCCCTCCTCCCCCTAACCCCCACTGCCACCTCCACTTGGAGCCCCGCCGCCGGAGAACGACTGCTTCATTGCCAGCGCCTTTGAGCGCTTCTCCCGAAGCCTTACCTCGCCGATCGAGGCGTCTGGCTCATTCAACCAGGTGCGCGCAATTGCCGCGTCCACCAGCCGAGTGGCTCCTCGCCCTTGCCGCTCCCCGCGCCCCCCCCCCCCCGCCTAACATGCCCCCGGCCGATGGTAGATCTTCTTCCGGGTGGGTGCCTTTCACAGGCGCCACAGCCGCCGCCCCATGGCCCAGCATGTTTTCTTTCCCACCAACCCGAACGTGCGTCCCCAGGGGCTTGGCTGTACTCGGCTTCGAGCTCTGGCTCACCTACCCCGCACAACAGGCGCAGGGCACACTCAACCTCTTCACCGGGGCATCCGACAACAATCGCATCGTCCAATACATCCGGAACTCGTCCAATTGGAAGCGACTCTCCCAAATGTATGTGCAATCACCGTGTCCCGCCTGCGCCCTCCCCCTCGGCCCCATGCTGACATGCGGCCCGCCCAGCTTTGGCGATCAGTTCATGGTCTTCCTCTTCGCCACTCCCATCATTATCTCGCCCATGTGGGACCCCCAGGCCACCGGGGACCGGGGCTCCCGGGGTCGGTGCCCCTCGGCAGGGACCACCCCGACCCCGGCGCACCTTGCCACCCATCCCCGACACTTGCTGCCCACCATGGAGCCCGAGGCCCGGGCCGTGCACTATGTCCAGCTGTCCGGTATGTTGCCTCTCGCAGTGTGTGCATGTGTGGCCCGCCCCGGCGGCCATGCTTCCGGTGCCCTCTGTCGCGCAAACTGACGTATGGGCCCCCCTCCCCGAGGGCAACCGGGGGGGGGCGGGCGCTTGTCCTTCCAGGCGTGGCCCTGAAAGATGTGGTGTGTTGGACCTGCTTCCAGCACAAGGTCCCGCATGGGCCCACCCGGCAGGTGCTCATCGCCCCCTGTCGCCACCATGTGGGAGCCAGTGTCGGGCGCCGATTTAGCCAGGCTCCCCCGGGGCAGCGGCGCCCGCGCCCGGCCCCGGAATCGGCCGCCTCCCCGGCCGATGCGGAGCCAGCCGCGGCCAGCAGCGCGGGCCGTCGCAAACGCCGGCGGGCCTTCTCCCGGCAAAGCCTCCTTCCGGCCGGGCCCTCGGCGCCAAAGTCGAAGCCCCGCCTGTCGTACACCGTCAGCCCGTCCCCCTCGGGGGACACCCACTCGTTGGTCATTGGCCCGTCCGATTTGCTCTACAACCTGAAGACCTCGCTCCCGCGCCCGGGCCCGTCGGCCCCGGCCCTGACCGATCGCGCGGCCTTCCACTTGACATGCTACCAGGCGCGGCCGTTGCTGCTCTTCCCCCACTCCACGCCCCTGGAGCGGCACTTCCCCCGGACATGGCGCGGGCCTGCCTCGCGGGCCCCGTCCCCGGAGGGCACCCTGCTGCCGAAGAAGTTCCAATACTCCGGGGCTTTTCCCCTCTGCCGTACGCCCTGGCCACCGCCCGGCGGCCCGCCTGCTCCGCCTCTTCCTCCTTTCCTCCCCGCTCTTCGGCCAAATTCGCGCCGCTGGCTGTGCCCCGGGCCGGGTTTTTTTTTGTTTTTTTGTTGTTTTTTGCTGCGCCGCCCGTGTCTCGGCGCCCTGCTTCGCGGGTCTGCCCCTCCCCCCGCCCTTCGCCCCTCCCTCTCACACACACGCACATGCGTCTTCCCACCGGCCCGGCTGGCGAAGACGAGCTGACTTGCCTGCATGTGGACTTGCGCCTGCTGGCCCGAAGCATCCTCCAGCCCGACTGGCAGGCGCCCCCATGCGCAGGCCACTCGCGAACCGCCCTCAATCAACTTCCCCCACACATCACCGGCCCACAGGTGGAGGCCCTGGCGCTGGGGCTGCGGAAGTTCCGCGCCGCCTTTCGCCGGCTGGCCCTCCCGGCCATGCGCGGGCCGCATCGCTTCCGTCGGCCCCCCCTGGAATGGATCCGCGCACGCTATTGCCCGCGAGATGTGCGTCCCCTCAAGCCGGACATGGCGGGGCCTTCGCCGGCCGCCCCCTGTGGCCACCCGTGCTGTTCCCCCCCCCCCTCCCTCCCTCCCTCCAGCTGGCGCCCCGCCGGCCCTCCCTCCCTCTGTCTCTCTCTCTCTCCCTCTCCCTCTCCTTCTGTCTGCCCCTTTGCCCGCCCCTCGGCTTCTCACACGAGCGTGTCGCTGCAAATGGCACACAGAAGCGCAGCGCTGCTCTTTCTCCCCGGGCGAGGCTCCGCGGGACCGCCCGTGCGACAAACGTCTCGGCCAGCGAGCGCAATGCCCAGCGGACCCTGGAGTCCTTTTCCCAGTTCATCACCCCGACGACCAGTGTCATTCGCTACATCTTGACCATCCTGTCCTTGACCCTGCCCCCGGAGCTGATCGGCGTGCCGAGCTTGCCGAACCCGCCCACGCCCGAGCAGGCGGCCGACCCGCGCTTTCGCAATTGGCTGTCCCTGCGAATGTGTGCGTGCTGCCTTGGGGCCTCTGCTTCTGCTGGGATGTGACCATGTGGCGGCCATGGGGGCCACCGGTGACTGACGGTGTCCTTTCTTCTTCTTTTTTTTTTCCTCCTTTCCCCTCTTTTGCCGGGTGCCACGGGCGCGCATCTGTCCGCCTCCCTCCCTTGCCTGGGATCCCCGGGCCCAGTGGTCATCCGGCTGGTGCGCCTTCGCCGGTATGAGCACCTCACGCAGGTGGACTTCCAGACGCTCTTCAAGGTCCGCCACTGTGTCTCGCCGCTGCCCGTGGAAGTGGCGGCCTGAGGGTGGGGGGGGGGGGCGTGCCCTCTTTTGGAGACTCCCCCTTTGGCTTGCCGCTCCCGCCGCCGCCGCCGCCTCCTGACTGACATCCCTCCAGACAAGGGACATCTTTTGGCCGAATGCCACCTGGAGGACACTTCTGACGATGGGCACCAATGGAATACAACGCCCCCCGCCAGGGCCCTTCCCCGACCAGGGGGGCCGGCGAGCTCTCGGCGCCGCGAGCGCATTTTCCCACTGGCTGCTCGGCTTCTTCGTGGTGCCGCTACTGCGGCAGTCCTTCTACATCACGGACAATGGGGCCGGCCGCAGGTGCCTGGTATACATCCGCCGGGACATTTGGGCGGCCGCCTCGCGGGTGGCCTTCCAGAAGCTGATCCGCTCGGGCAATTACTCACCCATCTCCAAGGTCCGGATCGGCATGGGGCGGGGGCCTGCTTGTTTGTTCATTTGTTTGCCTGGCGGTTTCTTTGCCTCGCGCCGTTTGCCTGCCTCCCTGTACTTTGCTCTCTCTCTCTCTCTCTCGCCCGCCCCCACCCCCCTCTTCTCCCCCTTGCCTGCCCAGCCTGCTGGCGGTTCGCTTGACTGACGCACTCTCGCAGGCCCAGGCCATGAGCATTATCGCCTCCACCAAGGTCGGTTTCTCGCACCTTCGCTTTTTGCCGAAGAAAATGCCGGGCAGCTCGCATGGCGGCCTGCGTCCAATCTTGAACATGGGCCGGCAAAAATACTCGCCCGTACGTCCGTCCGTCCGAGGGAGGGGGCGGGACACTGCTCGCATGCTCGCCGTGCCGGCCTGCTCGCCGGTCTCCTCCTGTCCCCCTGCGGAACTCCCTGCCGCTTGACCCCTTGGACGTGGGTTGGGTGGGCCTGCTTTTGTGCTGACCACACGTCCCGGCTGCTGCCCCTCCCCCCCCCCCCTCACAACAAGTCCTCAGTGAAGTCGGATGGGGCGAAAAGCGTTCGATCGCGCCTGGAAGCCCTGTTTGCTGTGCTGACGTACGAGTCGCGCCGGCGGTCGGAGTTCTTCGTGTCGCGCGATGCCGCCTACCTCCGGCAGCTATGCACACAATGCCGCTCCGTGCCGGGGGACATCTTCCGCGGGACCCTCCTCGGGATGCAGAACCTCTACCGACTCATCCCGGTACTCAAGCAGCACTTTTCCACACCGGGCACGGCTGGTACGTGACCTGCGCAGGCGCACATTCCCGATGGCCATACACACACACGCACACACGCATGCGCATGCGCACACATACATACACATACATACACACACATACATACGCAAAACGCATGCATGCATGTACCCACACCGGCGCCACTCCCCTCGGCCCGACTGTGCCCTCTGCTGACTCGCTGCTCTCTGTGTGCCCGGTGTGCCGGCCTCATGTGCCGGGCCCTGCCCTCGCGCGCTCGGTAGCTCCGGGTGGCACACTGCCGCGGCTGTTCGCCATTTCCTTCGACATCAGCGCCGCATACGATTCCTTCGACTCCGATCGGATCATCCGCATCATCCGCGATCAGGTCCTTCTGTCGGAGCGCTACTCGCTGATGAAAATCTACACGCTGTCCCCGGAGCGGTCGGGAACGACCCAGAGCAGGTCCCTCAACCGCAAGCGCACCTCCCTGGCAACGGGGCTTGACCGGCCCCCCATCCTGGCGGATGTGGTTCTCGGCCGGGCCTTCTCCGAGGCCCTCGGGTCCGTGTGCTTCCGGTGTACCAATGCCCAAGGCGTCCGTGGGCGCCAGGCTCGCCTGTCGGCGGATGCGGCCAGTCCGGAGCAACTGCTTCCCGTGCAGCAGGGCATCCACACGGACATATCCTGGTCTTGGGTGGCCACCAAGGCCTCGCTGCTGCAGGACCTCGCCGACCATGTCAAGCGCAATGTCATCAGGGTGCGTTTGGCCACACGGTCGATGGTGGGACATACCTCCCACGGGCCGTACTTTTCAGACAATCACTTGCGCGTGTGTGTGTGTGTGTGCTTTTCTGACACATCGATACGTGTGTACACGCGCATGTGTGCATGTGTGTGTGTGTGTGTACGTATACGCGGTTGGCGGGCTTTCTGTCCTTCTCTGCGGTCCCACCGGCCGGACAGTTCGATCGCAAGTACTACCTCCAACAGCGGGGCATTTCCCAAGGGTCGACCATCGGAACCCTGGTCTGTCGCGCATACGTCGGCCATGCTCTGCAGGCGGAATTGGGCGACCTGCTGGGCAGCTCGGACTCCGTGCGTACTCTTGCCCCCCCCCCTTCTCCCGACCGCTAGACTGCCATCGCTGACGCCTGCGTGCCTAATGCTGCAACCGTGCGCACGTGCGCTACACACACACACACATGCCTACAAATATGCATACATTCGCAGCAACTGCTGTGCTATGTGGACGATGTGATGTTCATCACCTCCGACCGCAACAAAGCCGAGGAGCTGTACCGCCGCCTGGCAGATGGTGTTTTTGCCAAGTACAACCTCCAGATCAGCGTGAGCAAGTCGCAGATGTCCTTCAGTCCGAGCTTCGTGACACAGCCCGCCATCCCCGTGTGCTCGCCAACCGGTGTGTCTTCTTGGTTTGGGACGAGGCCCGCGCTGCACAGGCCCCCTCCCCCCCCCCCCCCTCGCTTTTGCTCTGCTGTGTGTCTGACTTTCTCTCTTGTATCTCCGGCTGCCTGGGTGCCGTCCTCTCCCCCTCTGCCTCAGCCTTCCTGTGGTGCGGGCTGAGCCTGGACTTGACGGATTTGTCCGTCCGGGTGAGCTACCGCAAGCAGGCGGATAATGGTACGCTCGGAAGCGGACCCGCAATACCCCCCGGCTGCCCCCCCCCCCCCCCCAAGCTCCTGCTCCTTTCGCGGGGAGACAGCACGGGGTGAAATTCCTCTCTCGTTCCCCCCTCTGACCGCCGCCCCTTAGCCGCCAGCCACTACCTGACTTTGCCGCGCCGTTTGGCCGGCTCGACGCCGCCATTGCGGTCAATCTTCCTGAATCTCTTCAAACGCTTCCTCCGCCCGCGCCTCAAGATAGTGCCGATGTTCACAACGCAGGCGGTCACGCAACAGCGCACCTGCCTGGCCACTGGGGCCTTTGCCAGCTCGCCGCTTCCCTCCTTCGGGCTGATGCTCAACCTCTTTGAGATGCTCTACCTGGGCTTCTACCGGTGTGCCGTGTCCCTTCTGGCCGAGTTGGCCCTGGTCCAGGGCTTCCACATGCCCTCGGTGTCTTTGCTCTCCTGTGCGCTGGTCCCCCCCCCCCCCCCCCGGCCGATGCTCCCTCGGCCAATGCTCCTCTTGCTCCCTCCTTGAAGAAGGGGGGCTCCACGCTCCGACTGACAGGCCCGCCCCCGGCAGCACTTATTTACGACGCGCTCCATGTCTTTTCCTCGGAGATCCTCGGCGAAATCCCGGCCCACGAACCGTCCTCCCCTCTGACGGCCGAGCAGACCCTCGCACGCCGGGCCGGCCTCCACCGGACGTTGGTCATCTGGTGCGCACGCCCCCCTTCTCCCGACCGCTAGACTGCCATCGCTGA